GGTTCAAATCATTTAAGCCGACTTCTAGGTCGTATAATGATGTGGATTGAGAGTCCATCCTCAAGAGCCATTAGACAGTGTCCTTTTAATGAAAGACCTAGATGGCGATTGAATAGCACAGAGGATAATGCGGGTCCATCGAATGAAAACAGACATAATCCACTGGACAACATTTGTCTTCTCGGTCAGTTCGGAAGCAACTGGATGCTGGCTCAGTACAATGCAAACACAAATACTTATGAAAAATTAACAGATGCAACAAGCTCATATTACACGACCTATGTGAACATTGGGGGTATGTATGCTGCACTCAAACGTTTGGAAGGTTTATGACCCATTATTACCATTTTTACATATTCAGGGCGACTTTAAGTGATACATTGTGCTGGCTGTATGCCTGTTTACCAGGGGCCCAAATTTCCTCTGGCCCGTCAAATGCTGGAGGTCGTTTACTTTTCCTGCAGATTTTGGCACAGTTGCGTAGACCTTTAGCGCAGTCTGTTTCTGGTTGCGTTAATCAGGTGTTTGTCGCTCCATAAATTGTCTAGCAGTCATTTCTGCGCAACGGGCGACTGTCTATTTCCAGAGAAGCGTAATTCAGTGTACAGGAACCCATCGTGAATAGCGATGACGTGCACTTTTGGATGACACTTTCGTTATAATCGAACGCAGCAGGCTATCAGACTTCTAAAACTTGCTTAACAGCGTCTTCCCCGACATCTAATTCAAAAGAGAGAAGCTAATGCCCGGAAACTACCTTATATGATTGACCTCGTCACGCGCAGACCCAATAGGGAACTCAGTACTACGGTTTGTAGAAAGGCGACTAACCAAACACAAGTAATCAGCTTCTATAGCAACCACTCGATGGCGCACAAAAGTGGCTGTATTATAAGATTATTTCAGACAGTAAAAGCTAACTGCAGTGAGCCTCGGAAAAACGAGAATTTCGGCAACTTTTGGACCAACTGGCAAGGAATAGATGCCAGAATAGCTTCGTCGGATGCTACCTCCTTACTCGCCAATAGGGAACAAACGGAGGAGA